GCAGCATAGCTTAAGTCGAGAAGGGCTATCTGCCAAAGACCCCCGAGTTCGATTACACTCAGCTTCGAGGGCACATCATTTGCAGTATAACTTAAGTCAAGAAGGGTTATCTGCCAACAAAAGGCCTTCGAGTTCGATTACACTCAGCTTTGAGGGCACATCATTTGTAGCATAACTTAAGTCGAGAAGGGTTATCTGCCAACAAAAGACCTTCGAGTTCGACTACGCTCAGCTCCAAGGCATATCATTTGCAATACAACTTAAGTCTAGAAGGGTTGTCTGCCAACAAAAGACCTTTGAATTCGACTACGCTCAGCTCAACGGCACATCATTTACAGCATAACTCAAGGCTAGAAGGGTTATCTGTGACCAAAAGACCTTCGAGTTCGACTCCGCTCAGCTCCAAGGCACATCATTTGCAGCATAGCTTAAGCCGAGAAGGGCTATCTGCTAAAGACCTTCGAGTTCGATTATATTCAACTTAGAGGCAAATCAGGCTTACAACATAGCTCAAGGCAAGAAGGGCTATTTGTCAATAAAATTGTCGAGTTCAACTCTATTTAGCTCAATGATACCTCAATCACACTACTGTCCGGCTACAATCAAGGTTTTCAAGTCGAGATGAAGACCTGGGTTAACCGTGCCTTAGTGACAAAAAAATCGCTTTCCGACAGCATAGCTTAAGTCGAGAAAAGCCATCTGTCGACAAAGACCTTTCGAGTTCGATTTCGTTCAGCTCGAGGGACTATCTACCATATGATTTGGTCAATGAATTGCTTCCCATTTGAATTTTTAGCCAAGATCTTTAAACCGAGAAGATAACCAAGGTTGACTATGTTTGGGCAATGAGAAGTCGCATCTCGATTTAAATTTCGAACTACGGTTTCAATTCCATATCATTTCGAGATGGACTTGACTTCGCGACGAAGGAGCTATCCGCAGCTCAAATTCGACAGGGAGTTATTCCTAATTCAAATCAATTCTCAACTATATCGAATGAAAATTTGTGTCCTTTTTGTCTTTGCCCTATTTTTCGTTCCACGAAAAAGGACAAAGAGGGGCAGCTGTAGACACCAATTTTCGTCCATTTTTTATTTATATATATATTATATAGTCTGAAATCATTTTGAAAATTATATAATATATGGTTTTTTAATTATTTTGAAAATATATAATATATAGTTTTGAAAACATTTTTTGAAAATACATATTATATTGTTTTGAATTTTTTTTAAATATATAATATATAGCTTTTAAAAACATTCTTGAAAAACATATATATATATATTTTGAAAATTAGTTTCTAAATATATATTATATAGTTTTGAAAATTAGTTTTTAAAATATATATATTATATAGTTTTGAAAATTAGTTTTTAAAAATATATTATATAGTTTTGAAAATTATTTATACGTTATGTGGTTTTGAAAATTATTTTTTAAAAAACATATATTGTATAGTTTTGAAAATGTTTTATATTAATTTATCTATTAATTTTTTTTTTTTTCATTTATTATTTATTTATTTATTATTGTTTGTTTCAGGTCCAAGATAGGGCCCAAGCAATCAGAGAATCGGGTTTGGACTAGCCCAATAGCATATTAGGGTTGCTTGCTTAGGGGAATTACATAGTCAGCGCCGCATAGAGCAATGGACGGTCACGCATGCCGAAACGGCCGGCCGGCATCCCGGGACTGACCCATCCCGGGATGACCGGTCACACATGCCCGAAGATCTCGGAACAGTCCACCACGTCCCGTTATTCTCGGGATCACAACGGCCGATGAAGGCTTATAAATGCTTTGCAAAGCCACGGTTACGATGGAGGATGAACAGTAAACCGAGCGAAACCAGGCAATACAGCTAAACACAACCAAATCTAGACAAAAACACCAACAACAGTACCATCGACGGTATCCACAGAGAGAACAAACGACCATCAACATATAGAACCATCAACAGAGAGTAAGCCGAGAACCAACAGTGAGAAAAAACAAAACCATCGAGCAACAGTACACACAAAAGCCACCAGCAAAACAACGAAGCACAACCATAAACCAAAAGCAGAAACAAAACTCATAAAAGCACACACAAAATAAACAAGCGAGACCCGAGCAAAGAAAGAGGCTCGTCGGAACCGAAGAGCCACCGAGAAGGCGAAGAGTTTTCGTCAAGAAAGGGTAGATACTGAGCGGTTTTTTTTGTTTAGATCTGCGTTTATTTGGGTCTATTTTGGGGATTTGGTCGGGGGTTTTAGGCTCACTGGACTGGAACGAACGTTTTGGAGACTTCGATTTCTTTCCGGCCGCCACCGGTGGCGGCCGGAGCGGCGGCGTGCGGTTGCCGGGATTCGGCCAACCATTGGCCGAGAAAGGCTGGTTGGGAGCTCTCTCGGTTGAGAGAGATGAGATTGTTGAGAATGAACGAAATAAGCCTGGTTATGTATATATATATAGCAGGGACCATTATGCAAATAGAAGATTCTTTAATTCTCTCCGCAGTCCCTGGTAGTTTAAATCGCATTTCAATCTGGCCATCACTTGTAATTTCGTCTCTGGATTCTCAATTCATTCAAATTGGTCACCTTTTACATTTTTTTATATTTTGTGAATTAACCCTCTAATTTTGTTTTTTACAGTTTGGTTTTAGTATCACTTTCGGTGCACAAGGTCCAATTTAATTCATTCTGATCCTTTTATTTATTTACCTTGTTTTGTTTTTTCTAACATTTTTCTAATTTCAACTTTAACCTTTTTTTTATCTATTTTTATTATTTTATTTTATTATTGTTATTTCTTTCCCATATTACACTTTTCACTTTTTCCTCTTATTTTATTTACCTTTAAAAGTTAACGTTTTAATATTCGTTCTAATTATTATTATTTTAATAGTATTTTTATTTTTATTTTCCCTATCTCGTTTTCTTCACTTTTTATCTTTTTTATTCTTTTGTTTATTTTGACTTTAGTGTTTTTTTTATTTTTTTTTATTTTTTTTAATTCTTGCCATTTGATTTATATTCATTTATTTATTATTATTTTTTTTCCTCTTCCTAATTCATTACTTATTTGTTTTTTTTTCCTAACATCTTCAACTCATTTTTTTCAGAAATCTCAATTAATCAGAGGTAAGCAATTCGAGTCGGATTTCTAAATTTCAATTTAAATTTGTAATTTTCGCAATTAAAAAACAACTGATAAATTAATTGGTACCGAAAGGGCGGTTCAAGGGTGCTAATCCTTCCTTGACCGTAATCGACTCCCGAACCCGACACATTTCTGGTATAACGCAGATCAGGTAAGATGGTGTCCGGCCCACCTAAATTCGTTTTAAAGTGGTCGGTGGCGACTCCAACTCATTTAATCCAAGTCGAAGCCCAATTTCGGGGCCCAAACCGAAAGACGGTTACGACAGTCGGTCCTAGATGCAGGGTTATGGGGATATACGAGGACTTGATTGCGACTTGAGAGACGAGCAGTAAGGCGATCATCATAGAAACAGATAGTAAAGAGGCTTGAACCCTACTCAGCAAAGGATAAAACAACTGATAAAAATATTTAAAAGATTTTAATTAATTATATTACAAAATTGTTGTCGTTTTTATTAATTATATTAACATTTTCAGGTAATGATAAAGCAACTGATAAGTGTTTAAAGGTGTACATGTGTTAACATGATGTTGTTCACTCGATATATAAAGCTCATATATAAATGTCGTTGTCGTCGTTCAGCTCGTATTCGTATAAATATATGTAATGCACATTACTTTTTTGGACAAAATTTCTATGATTCTGTCATTTTAATTTATTTATCTTCGTCTTGAACCAAACGCATAATACGTGTGTTACTTCTTTTTAAACAGAATTTTGATATTTTTCGGTTTGATTTTTGTAATTGTATTTTTCATTAATTTTAGTCTATACAGTAAAAAAATCATCGATAACTACTAATAATTTGTTAAAGTGTGTTCAGAACTCGTCGTGTGAAAATGACGAGTTTCATAAAATATAATAAATAATTAAACTCGTCATGCGAAGAGTTTTATACAATTTTCGTTCAGTTCAAATGATAAGTTTTATTTTTAATATATTTTATAAAACTAATCGTGTGGACATGACAAATTCTTCCTATACTATAACGAATTATCTAGATTTCAAAATAAAAATTTAATACCTGCATTTAAAAAAATAACAACTCCCGCTCATAGTATTTCCAAATTTTATTCGATATATACAAAGAATAAAACAATAATTTTAGTTTTTAAAATCCCAAAAATCTCGTGCATAGTGAAAGTCAAGAGAACAAAGGCCTTGTCAAATTTTAGGCTAAAATGGTGGGGGAAACCGAGAAAAATGGATGCTCAAACAGCATTATCACCTTCATTTATGACCAATTTCTTGAGAACAAACCTTCGCTTATTATCAATTTTCTCTATAAGCTTTGGATTTAAACACTACCCATATTAGCATTTTCATCACCACTTTTGTAAAACTATGAGATACTTTCAGAGTTTTTCTCGATTCATCGTCATCGTCAGAGATAAACTAAGAGAATACAATAGGATACAGTCGTACTTTCCTTGAAAATTTCAAGATCATTATGTAGTTTAAGTATTTATAGTTTCGATCGATGATTTGATTTCATATTTCATGTCATTTTATAATTTTACATCTCTTAAATTTTTAGTGTAACTTCCTATTTCATTCAAAAAAAAATAGTGTAACTTCCTAAGTTAATACTCTTGATGCGTTATTCTCTGGTATCATCATTGTGTACTTTAACACGTTTAAACGATCTTAGAAGATAGTCTCCTTATGATACATAAAAATTCGAATTTTGACATTACGTTAAAAAATGTTATTAAAGAACAAGGCAAAGAGCCTTTATTATAGACACCTAAAATAATCGATGTTAAAAATGGCAGCCCATACGCAGAAGCTAAACTAGCCCAATTCAAAACCTAAATAACCCTAATGGAGTTTTAAAGCCGATCACGTTGGAAACCCTATAAAACCTTGATTTTTCTCTCCATTTTCCGACTCTTTCATTGAGCTGCTGCCGCTGTTTGTAATCCTTTGGTGATTCCACTGCGTCGAAACCAGGAAGGTAGATTTTTGCTTAGCCATGGCGGACAAGGCAGTGACTATTAGGACAAGGAAGTTCATGACGAACAGGCTACTTTCCAGAAAACAATTTGTAAGCTCCATTTCCATTTTATGGCTCATTTTCTCGTTATCAAACATGGGGCAACTTTAAATTTAAGTCTTGCAGTGTATTTTTCTCGTTATCTTTCATTTTATTTTCCCGTTACATTTGGCAGGGTTTAGTTTTTAGGTCGTAGATCGGTCAAAGATAGAAAATAGAAGAAAAAAAGTGAAAAAAAGAGTTGGGTTCTTGTAAGTTTGGTTGGAATAAGTGTGTTTTAGGGATTTCATTCATTTTCCATTTGAGGATAATAAACTTTTTTGTGTAAGAAATGTGAAGATATGGTGAAGATGGTTTATTTGGGAAACTGTAAAGTCAAATTAGCTTATATTTGTTTGACTTGTATAATTTGCTCCTTTTTTGGTAGATCATTGATGTTTTGCATCCTGGGAGACCCAATGTTTCCAAGGTAAATGTTTAATGTTTCTCAATAACATTGTTGTATAGTTTTTAACTGCTGGAAATTTTGAATGTTTGTGTTAACTTGATTTTTTTTTCATTTTTTGATCCCGCATTGTTAGGCTGAGCTGAAGGAGAAGCTTAGTAGAATGTATGAGGTGAAGGACCCAAATTCAATCTTTGTGTTCAAGTTCCGGACTCATTTTGGAGGTGGTAAATCTACAGGATTTGGTTTGATATATGATTCTGTCGAGAATGCGAAGAAATATGAGCCTAAATACAGGCTGATCAGGGTAATTTATGAATTATGATATGTTTTTTTGCACATTTTCTATTGATTTTGTTTGTAGTATGATTGTTTTATTAGTAGTATATTGAAGTCACTTTCCTGACATATTTTTCTTTGCGTTGTTCACTTTCATGCTTTAAGCACTGGTCGACCCCTGGTGTTTAAACATCTTCTAATGGTGACACCATTGAGCATAGAAACAACTGTCTTTTAAGCATAACTTACACGTATTCAGACTTGGATATGAAGATATGACCCTCCAAGGGACCTGCAAAATGGATTGAATTTTTTTAAATTTCTTGTATCTATACTCGCATTTTAGATAAGTAATGTAGATATGAAAGGCATTCGACCAGTCAAGTTTCTGCCAAGTTATGTTTTTTGATGTCGGAAATAGGTTTTTTGTAACTCTTAAAATAATGTTTACTTGACTTTCTGGGTTTCCTGGCATTTCTTTTCTTTCGGTTCACCGTCACATTTGTCATGAGAATTGCATTTGAATATTCTCTTTTAAGGGCATTAAGGTATGATGCATGATGCTAATTATGAGTTGCAATTTCAGAATGGACTCGATACCAAGGTGGAGAAATCAAGGAAGCAAATGAAGGAAAGGAAGAACAGGGCTAAGAAGATCCGTGGTGTGAAGAAGGTACACTTAATTTTTTCTTTTTGTTATTTGAGATTCTTTCACTCCCGAAACATTCGGGGACCGATGAGGCTAATTTTCTGACCATTTTGCTTGTTTAATATAGACCAAGGCCAGTGAAGCATCGAAGAAAAAGTGAGGTGAAAGGGATGAAGGATAAGGTGAAATCTATGTCTATCATGCTGTCAATCTTTTCTCGCAGCTGTTGTTTACTAGTCACAAGTGTTTAGGTGTTCTTGAACCAGATTTCCATTTTGTTTCGGAAACCGGATTCCGTTCCGACTATCCTGTTTTGATTCTTCCAGTTTAGAATTTTGAAATGCTGTTTTTGGGAGGAATTTAATTCTCCTACTTTTGGTGGTGTTGGTTCAAACAAGCGTCATTTAGATGTAAGTTGAATTTGGACCAAGTAAAGATCAATGAATCTTTGTCGAAATTCTAAAATACAACTTGTTAATATAAGGCTGAAAATGATAAAAATTGATTATAACTGAAAATCTTTTCAAGAGGCTAATATTTTAGTTTGGATATCATAAAATTTTCGGTTTTTATTCTTCATAACATCTTTAGTTCCAATTGAAAATGCTATCTTTTTCCTAACATAACATTTTTGATTGTAACAAAAAATTACTTTTTTCATAATATTTTTATTGTATTTCTTAGCCTGCAATGTAATTTTTTTATTGTTATTGATAATGTTATAAATTTGTTAGATTGAGTAAAATAATATTTGAGGTTGAAAATTGTCTTAAAATAATATTTGAGATTTTATGAATTTAGAGGTTTTTAAAAAGTTTAAAGATTTTATGGGGTTATAAAAAAACAATAACAATTAAAATAAATTAACAATCAAATCACGTGTCACGTATTATTAGGTGATAATTTCTTTTTAATTGTTAACTTTAAATTAAAAATGAAATAAAATATTAAATAACCACCTTAATCAACAAAAGTTAAACAACTTGAAAAAAATTGTATTATTTAAACACTTGTGTGAATGTGTATACGTTTGTTACATGTGAATGCATGAATTCTCACACTAACAATAAAGTAGTTAGTGGCAGTTTGGTATATATTTTATCCATTTGGGATCTCGGACAACGAATTAAAACTTGATACTCCTCTATTGTTGGTGCCAAATCCACTCTACCAAATGTGAAACAACTATAAGTCGGGTTCTAGAACTGCGTCAATGCTCTAAACAGATTTCGGTCAATAAGAACATCCAAAAGATAAGAAATATCGCCATATAACTGATAAAATATCTCTTTAGCGGCCACTTCCCATCTTCCCCATACCTCTTTTAGCTCACTCAGATCATTCTGACGTACATTAATGTGAGTGTAATCAAATAATTCCGACACGTATCCAGGCATCACACTGTCCCCATTGGTCAATTGGGACTGTTCCGACCACCTTAGAACATCATCATTGTCCTCAACCTCTTTCTAAACCATTTGTTCCATATTACTGGCCTTCTATATGGACATCGATCCCAAATCAACACCATGTAATGGATATTGCAATGCAAAACAAAAAGAAATAAAGCAAAAACAACAAAAGATTGGTTAGTAAACATAAATCAATTAAGTCGGGATAATAATTTGTTCAATAATCCTACTCACACATGTTGGCTACCCAATCATGCTTTATCAGATCCTACCCAACATGATATCTACCCCGTGCTTTGTTATTCAAAAAGAAATCCTAACCGCATGATATCTAATTCGCATGCTTGTTCGAAAAATAAACCTAACCGCATGATATCTAGTTCGCATGCATTTATTCGAAAAACGAAAATGAATGACTCAAAAAAGCTTTTCCTTGTGTACCCTCCTCACGAGATTCTTAAGGTTCGGGTTAGGCTCAACCTAAGTTCAGGTTCTATGTTCACTATATACTGGGTTCGGTTATAAAGTAATAAATTCTCGAATTGTCCTTGCCGGTGCCCCTTGGGCTATCAAACCCTCAATCCTGGCCCATCACAGGCTTTAGGGGATCGAGTTAAATTTCTAGGGAACACACCTCCTTATGTTCATGCGGAGGTGATTACCATCACGAGGACCATAAGGCGTGAGCTCCAGGAGCGATCCACTATCCCATGCGGAGGTGAAAACCACACGAGGGCATAGTCTCTCACTCCTACTTAATTTGGACGGAGCGAGGTTTTAGCTCATGTCATGATAATGTAACTGTGCAGTGTGTGAGGAAAAGCGAAAACACACACAATAAAAACACTCAAAATTTCCTAATTAACACAATTAATCTGAAACCATTAGCAAACAAATCAGTATTGTAATCACCATTTTTACCTCTCCATTCCAGCATCTCCACGTTGCATTTCCAGCAATTTCCAGCAGCTGCAGCAGCCCCTCCACGCAGCATTTCCAGTAGCTTCCAGCGACAGCTGCCCCTCCACGTTGCAGCTACAAACAGCCTCCAGCAAGCCGGGACAGCAGCCCCTCCACGTCCCAGTTCCAGTGGCTTCCATCACCTCCTTTGGCCAGTGACTCACCGGGTTATCCTCCTTTAACTGGTCCAAAGGGTGTACGAAAAAGCCTATAAAAAGCCCCCACCAATGAAGCAAAAGAGGGGGCAGAGCAATCAAACAAAAAAAATAATAAAATAGAGTGAAGATACCGAGCAACTTACCTTCGTCGGAGCATCCAAATCACCGGAAAACCACCAAAAAACCGAAGGTAAAAACTTAGATCTACGGAATTTGGGGGGTTTTTAGAACAAGAGGAAGCCGGAATCGGATTTAGAAATAAAAGAGGATTTTTTTGGGTAATTTTGTAAAATTCCGGCCACCGTGGACGGTGGCCGGCGACGGTGACCGGCCGGTCACCGGTATTCCTCCGATGAGGGAGCTCTAGAGAGAAGCTAGAGCTCTAAGCAAATGGATAGAAATGATAATTTAGGCCTATTTTGGCCTATTTATACCCTTACCAAAACGACGTAGTTTTGGTGAGGGCCTCTGTGTAATTTCCCGGATGGGAAAACCATACGAATTATCCTCCTGATTTTATAGACTTGTATTTTAGTCACTAAATTAAGTTTTAGAGCATTTTAATTTTGTTCCTGAATTTTATTTTATTATATTTTAGTCATTTCCAGTAATTATGTAATTTAGGGTAAATAATATATTTAGCCCCTGTAACTTTATTAATTTTTAATTCAATCCCGAATAATTAATATAAGATAAATCATACTGTTAATACTTAGTTTTTATAATATTTTAAATTAGGTATTTAATTTTATTAGATTATAATTTAGTCCCTAAGTTTAATATTTTCATTTATTTTACAAGCTTTATTACTTTTTATTTTTTTTCATACCATGTTTTAATTTTATTTTAAACATTATTTAATCATATGTTACTTTTATATATTTATGTTCATATATATTTAATTATCATTACTATTACTATTATTATTTATTAATTATGTCAATATATATAGTCTTATAAATATATAATATTTATTTATTTATTCTATTTTCCTATTTATAAATTTAATTTTATAAATTACTTTTAAGAAAAATAATCATATTTTGATATTTATTTATTTTTTAATATCAAAGAAAAGAGCTGTGTTAAGGCATCTAGAAGCCCTTTTCTGATATTTTTAAATAAATAAATATCTTATTAAAATAAATTTTTATTTTAAGAAAATGTTTTGGTTATTTATTTATTTTTCAATATCAAATAAAAGAGCTGTCTTAAGGTACCTAGAAGCTCTTTTCTGATATTTTTGAATAAATAAATATCTTATTATATTAAAATAAAATGTTTTTGATATTTATTTATTTTTTAATATCAAAGAAAAGAGTTGTCTTAAAGCACCTAGAAGCCCTTTTATGATATTTCTAAATAAGTAAATATCTTATTTATGTATATTAATATATTTTCTTAAAATTATTTGAAATAATAGAATTATGAATTAAATATATCTTTGAATTTTTAAATTTCCAATAATAGAGACAATTTATAATTAAAAAGTACCAATTTTGGGCGTTGTAGGGGTGCTAATCCTTCCCTAAACGTAACCGACCACGAATCACTTTTTATTATTAAAAAGAACGAATTTTTGGTTATAAACGCATATCAGTTCATCTTTTAACTGATGTTTTCTTAAAACTCTTTTAAAAGATAATTTTTAGGTATTCGACCTACCTAACCCAAAAGGTCGATGGCGACTCCCAAATTATTTTAAAAAACCATTTATTCACATCACTTTTCCCGCCAAGTAAGTACAAAATTCGTGCCCGGGCGAAAACCAGTTACGACAGCTTGGCGACTCCGCTGGGGATTGACTGGTCATGCTTTGAAATTAATTATAAATTGTCTCTATTAATTAGAAATTAAAAATTTATTTATTTAATTTTTAATTCTTTTTTTCAAATTTTTTATTACTTATGATTTTCATAATATTTATTATATTTTTTATTTTTACTTTATTTTCAAATATTAAATTTTTCATTTAATTGTTTGTCAGAGGTTTGAACATTTCTCCTCACACACAACACTTGCATTGCATAACATAAAGCTTTCTAATCAAGCTTGTCCCTTTTTAAGTGGGAGTGAAAGCGACGTCTTCGTGAGAATTTATTCTCCGTGTCAGACCTAGCAAGTAGCTTTCGGGGTTCATATGCTCTATGTCTTCGTGAGAATTTATTCTCCGTGTCAGGCATAAAGAAATGTATCCCCTCGAATTGAACTCGATCCGCTTAAGTCTGTGATGGACTAGAATTGAGGGTTTGACAGCCCAAGGGGGCATCAACAAGGACAGTTTGAGTACCTTTACTCCTAGAACTGAAGCCCTGCATATATTAAACCTAGAAACTCTCCCGATCTGAAACCATGCCGAAATTTTGTCAGTAGGTATACACAAAGGAGAAATAAGTTCTAGCTTTTATTTCCTTTTCTTTTTTCTGAATAAATGTATGCAAACTAGAAATCATACAGTTAAGCTAATTTTTCCAAACAAAGCATGGAACTAGAATGCATGAGGTTAGGATTTATACCTTGATAAATAGATTTTTTTCCATTAATTGGTACTAACTATTCTATTTTTTTCTTATTTCTTTTGCTTGCATTGTATGATCATGGCATAATCAAAAGGTGTTGACTTGAAAGACTGTTCATCAAATTGGAAAGAAATCGTAAATGAACAAAAAGTTTTATGATCAAACAAATATGATGCGGCCAAGGAAAAACATCCTGAAGAAACTACGACGATCGAGGGAAGTTTTGTACATAGAGATCCGGTTATATTAATACCAAAAGT